GCTAAGCTAAGCAAAAAACACAGGGACGGCAGTTCAATCCCCCAGCACCACATGCCGGCCAGCCCCGCCCCCTGGTGGGCTGAGCTGGCCACACACACACACACAATAAATAAATATTTTTTACAAAATTAAAACTTACCCCCATTACTGCAGTAAATAAATGAATGAATGAATGAATGAATGGCTGTGATGTGGTTTAGGGCAAAGGCCCTGGCTTCAATTCCTAATAACACACATGAATATTAAAAATATATGCATATGTACACATATATGTACATATGTAACAAGATGTTATTAAATTTTTTTTATTATATTAAAAAGTGGCCCAAGGGTGAGCATGGTGGCACATGCCTGTAATCCCAGCACTTGGGAGGCTGAGACAGGAGGATCATTGAGTTTGAGACCAGCTGGGGCTATAAAGTGAGTTCAAGGCCAACCTGAGCTGCATAGTGACACACTGTCTCAAAAAGAAAAAAACAGAAATGGCCCAAAAAGGTTAGGCTACAGATTGGACATACCTGTGAGAGAATTGCTATTTTTTTTCTTTGCTTAATTGTATGAAACTTATCTCCATTGTTTATTGCTTGCCATAGTGTATCGTGGCCTGTGTCTAGCTATTCCCCCTAGTCCCACGTAGTCATAGATGGGGCTTTTTCAGAGGTGGCTGGATCTAGAGAGTGATGCTAAAGATGGGATTACTTAATCAGTCCACTGATTGGTTTGCCATTGCTTTGGGTGTGAATGCTACCTGCCCAAGTAATGGGTTCCATCCTCAGCTTTGGTTTGCCATTCATTCATTCATGGAAATTGTTATAGTAAAAGATACACTGCCAGTGATCTCCTTCAGCCCCTTCCCCCACATTTGAACATGACCAGTCCATTGTTCTTGCCTCTTTCTTTTTTTCTTTTTTTGTTTATTTTTATGTATTTGGTACAGGATCTCACTACACAGCTCGGACTCATAGTGATCCTCCTGTTTCAGCCTTCCCAGCGCTGGGGTTACAGGCGTGTACCACCATGCCGGGTCTTGGTGGTTGGCTGTGCATGCCTGGGGCAGGCTGGTACCACGTGCCGTACTGGGAACAAACCAGGGTCCTTGAGCTTGCCTAGGCAGACACTTAGACCATTGAGCTATTTCCATGGCCCTGTTTTTATTTTTTGAGACAAGGTCTTAGTATGTAGCTCAGACATGTACCACCATGCCTTCCTGGCATTTGCTGCTTTGCTTTGCTTTTCTCCCCCTTTCTTTTCTTTCTTTTGTTTGTTTTTGGCGGAACCGGGGATTGAACTCAGATCCTTGCGTTTGCCGGTCAAGCGCTTATCCTACTGAGCCATCTCACCAGCCCTCTTTATTTCTTATACTGGGGATTAATTCAGGGCCTGTTGCATGCTAGGCAAACATTGTACCACTGAGCTGCAAATCCAGCCCATCTGTTGCTTTCTACAGTACCTCTGGAAGTCTTTTTTTTTTTTTTTTTTTTTTTTTGCAGTACTGGGGATTGAACTCAGGACCCTGCGCTTCCCAGGCAAGTGCTTATTCTCCTGAGCTATCTCCCCAGCCCCTGGAAATCGTCTTTCATGAATACTTTTTTTTTTTTGCGGAACTGGGGATTGAACTCAGGCCCTTGCACTTGCCAGGGAAGCACTTATTCCACTGAGCCATCTCCCCGGCTATGAGTACTTTTATAAATTGTCATAAAAAATAAATGATGGCTGCTGCTGAGTGCCATCCAATAGAAAGACAGGCTTGTAAAAACATAGTATGACCTTATGCAATTAATGCACTCCATTTGGTACCATAGGACTTCTGGCTCTTCCCCTTAATGACCATGAGAGAGAAACTTGTTATTTGAAACAGGATTTCACTGTATAGTTCAGGCTGGCCTCACTCACTGTGATCCTCCCACCTCAGTCTCTTGAGTGCTAAATTACAGGCTTGCCACTATGACTGGCCTAAATGGAAACATTTTGAATTGATTTGCAACTAAAGACACTCAGGAAAGAGGACTTGGCAGAGCTGCTTCAGAAAATGGTAAGGATAGGATAAGTAAGGGGAGTATCTTAGTATTTTGAGGGGATTAATAGTAATACATCTTTTATTTTTATTTTAATTATTATTTTTTTTTT